TGTTTTCGTTAATCTCGTAATTTGTTACTCTAGATTAATTTTAGTTAAATATTCATACGTTAGGGTTCGCTTGAATAGATCAATTGTTTGGTTTACTTTAGTTGATAGTTAATCACAAGTCCTTGTGGGTACGATATCTGGACTTACAATCCTATATTACTTGTCGACCACGTATACTTGCGTGTGCGTTTGGGAGCAACAAGTTTTTGGCGGCTGTTGCCGGTGATTTTCTATGCAATCTTAGCTTAGTTAGATGGGGAAAAAAACGAAAAAAGTAGAAAATTTGACTTCTCCCGACAATGGATCTCATTCGACAGGTTTCTTGAAGGATTTAAGTATAAAGAAGCAAAAGGACAAAAATATTTTCTTTTTAGGTAGTGTAATAATTCCCCCTTGGTTTTTCTTTGTGCTGCGGTTCTTTTCCAAGGGTTTTATTTGAACCGGGTGTAGGTAGTTTTATTTTTTAGGAGTAGGAGCCACTATGAGATAAACCGAATTGAAGCTATATCTCTTAACTTTGTTATGCCTTGAGAATAGTGAGTACTTTGGTTGTGACGCTTAGGCTCAATTTTTCATTCTTGTATAAGTACCTTAAATCGTATGATTTTAACTTTGCTTAACTGCTTTGACTAGAGTGTCTTGATGAGTCCAATCCTGAGTGAGTCATGTGTCATGTGTGTGAGAGGTTTGTGTGTTATCTTGTGCATTGCATTTGATGTCTAGAACTTGCCCTGTGTGTTTGCAAAGCGAAATAGTAGTTTTGTTTAGTCTTTGAAGTGATATAGACATTTCTTTGTTGAGCCAGATATATATAGTTTACCCGCCTAATTGCTATGTATCGTAGTCAACCCCTTTGAGCCTGTAATCCTGTTTCATTGGCAATCACATTACAAGCCTTTCTTATTTATTTGAATTAACCATCTATTTGAACCTTTTCACCTCCATGAGTAGTTGAATCGTAATGAACTTTATAAAAGTTAAGGTGTGGGGTGGTTGGTTTGGTTTTTGAGTGGAACCAATGAAATAAGGAGAAATGTGAACTCTTTGGAAAAATTAAGAGCCACTTGAATTGAAAAAGAAAGAAAAAAAAAATAGTTGTATTGTTGTAAAAAATATTCCTTGATAGTGGTACTCTTGATGTAATTATGCTTAAAGAATTATGGAGTTAATATACATTGATGTGAAGGTGGAGTTATGGTTTGACATAAGTGTGGGGTTCTAATTGTTAAAGTGTATGTATTAAAGTGCTTAGGGAGGTGTAGTCACTCATATATCCACATGTATCCTACCCGTCCCACAGCCTACATTACAATCAATTAAAGTCCTACTTGATCCTTGACTGAATGAGCTCGATTAGTAGAGTAGTACACTACGGGCAAGCCTATGATTCATCTTTTGTGGTATATGAATGTTGTTTCTGAGAGTGAGTGAATTCTTTCTATATTGAGTTCCCAATTGATCTTGAATTTTATGTGTGCGGAACTACTCTCTTTTGTTGTGTGAGGGCACTTGATTCATGAAGGAAAGGTAATGTCGTTGACCTCTATGTTAGAGTAAGTGAGCGGGTTGTGAAAAAATTGCGGGTGAGGATGTTATACTATTGTGCTTAGTCTATTTTAAATATTCTGGGTAAGATGAGTTATGAGAGTTGTTTAAAAAGGTCGTGTTGTTGTAAAGTGTAGAAAGTTGCTTGAGGACGAGCAAAAGGTTAAGTGTTGGGTGATGATATTAGGCATATTTTCATATATTAGGATATTATTTACTCTATGTTTTTACCTTTTTTAATTGTATTTTATATCGTATATGTCCAACGTAGCTTGATTATTGAGATTATATTAATCGGGTGTTCATGTCATTGTTAGGAGCAATTAAAAATGATTTTTGAGACAAAATTGAAGAAAAAATGGGAAAGGAAGAAGATTCCTAAGAGTTTAGTCGATTGGGTGGAAAAAATAACGTCACCTATGATCCTAGTGTTGGCAATGGAAGTGTGGAAGGCATCAAGCTTGGATAATATGGACAACGAATCGTGAAGGATTAACGTGGATGACAAAAAAATAGCAAATTGAAACGAGATGAATGTAAAAGTTTGGCAGAAAACGTACTGGATCCAGTGCCAGCCCAAGCGCGAGGCGTTGGTCTGCACCCGGGGGAAGTGCACGGTTAGCCATTAATAACACATGTATTTACTTTTAAACCACTATTTAAAATGTTTTTAGTCTTTAGCCACTACTTAAATAAACTTTAACTGCCCGGACGAAAATACCCTTCTGCTCATGTCCTTAATTTTTGAACTTAACTTCAGGACTTCAGGACTACATGTCCTTAACTTTTGAACTTGTAACTCTAAGTTCAGGACTTCAGGACTACATGTCCTTAACTTTTGAACTTAACTTCAGGACTACATGTCCTTAACTTTTGAACTTAACTTCAGGACTTCACGACTACATGTCCTTAACTTTTGAACTTGTAACTGTAAGTTCAGGACCTATTGTCCTTAACTTTTGGGCTTCTTAACCTAAGTTCAGGACCTATTGTCCTTAACTTTTGAGCTTGTTAGTCTAAGTTCAGGACTTCAGGACCTATTGTCCTTAACTTTTGAACTTGTAACTATAAGTTCAGGACCTATTGTCCTTAACTTTTGAGCTTGTTAGTCTAAGTTCAGGACTTCAGGACCTATTGTCCTTAACTTTTGAACTTGTAACTTTACGTTCAGGACCTATTGTCCTTAACTTTTGAGCTTGTTAGTCTAAGTTCAGGACCAAGTATCCTTAACTTTTGAATTTGTAATTCTAAGTTCAGGACCGAGTGTCCTTAATTTTTAAACTTGGAATTCGAAGTTCAGGACCAAGTGTCCTTAACTTTTGAACTTGTATCGGGACCTATTGTCCTTAACTTTTGAGCTTGTTAGTCTAAGTTCAGGAGCAAGTGTCCTTAACTTTTGAACTTGTAAATCTAAGTTCAGGACCTATTATCCTTAACTTTTGAGCTTGTTAGTCTAAGTTCAGGACCAAGTGTCCTTAGATTTTGAACTTGTAACTCTAAGTTCAGGAGTATATGTCCTTAACTTTTGAACTTGGAACTCGAAGTTCAGGACTACCTATCCTTAATTTCTGTGCTTGTAACTATAAGTTAAGGACTAAATACAAAATAATTACAAAGAATTTTTATTAAGTAGATAGGTTAATTACAAAGAAATTTTATTTAGTTTTTCTTCAATGTGGTGAACTCTGGTCAGAGACTCTTCAAATGCATTTAGAGCTACTTTATAATGATCTAAGGAAATCACCCCTTCCTCCACAACTTGTAATGCACTTCTATACAACTGGCTAAACCGTTGAACGTGTTCAGTAGACTCGGTATAACTAGATTCAAGATCTGATGCACATAATCGCTTATAATCCTTTTTATAAAATGTATTTTGAAGGGATCTCTTCCACACCATTGAAGTTCAGTACACACAACGAGTGCCTGCACAGATCGAACTTCGGCTGCTGCTCTATTGTATAGAATCTGAAAATGGCGTATTTCCGTTTGGGAAAGAAAGGGTAACATTGTCTTTTCATATTAATTTTAATAGACTAGTGGCTACTTTTGCTCAGCATTAAAAATACTGGATAAAAAGTAAATACCACTTTAAAAAGTGACTACCCCACACAATTTTTACTCGAATGAAAGATAAATTTTTAATAACGCGAATGTAATAATGCTATAGGTGTTATAACCCAACGTTTTCAGGGCAGACAGTATAGAAACTGAAAATAAAATAAAGAGCCTGGAAATACAACGAGAGAGAACAGGTGTGGGAAGATTGGAACTGCAAAAAGATATAATACAACTTGGTCTTGACTTTCAAATTATGCTCACTTCAGACAGGACTGCAATAAATGATACATTTGGAGACAAGCAATCAAATGTACTTAAGAGAGCTCATTAACACTATGCTCCTTGTAAGCAAGCAGGGATTATCCAGTTTTACTATGTTCTGATTGTAGCAAATGTCCAAGGACCCGTTTGGCCATAGATTTTGCCAAAATAAACTTGGGTTTTATTTGGCAAACACATGTTTGGCCATAGATTTTGCCTATATTTTGGCAAAATCCCAAATCTCAAATCCCAAATCTCAAAACCAGCTATTTTGGGCCAAAATCTTTACAAACACTAATAATATACATGTTTTTCCAAAATAAATTTGGGAAATATGTTTTGAAAACGTATATCCAAACACATTTTTATCTTCAAACCAAACTTCACCCACATCAAATTTTTCAAAACAAATTTGCAAATCTATGGCCAAACGCTAGCCAAAATTCCGTTCTTCTTTTTCACTTTATTTTAAATAGGCGCGTTAGGAGTTAATTTTCTAACTTGCAAGATGCCAAAAATAGCACCAAGGGTTCATGTTCTTTTCATTTTCAGATAAGGTAAGCATTCATGTTTGAGAGTATTAAGCAACTAAAGTGATTAATAGATTCTTTTGATCTCCAACAACGGCTAAATAAGTACCTCTTATCCTTCTTTTATTTTTGTTGTTTCTATAAAGTATAAGCACCAGTGATCCTATCAATTAAAAGCTACAAACAAAACAGAGAACTACAATCATTCTGAATGGTGCTTTAGGAAGGGGAGCCTTGGCATAACTGGTAAAGTTGTTGCCATGTCATGTTTCCACGAGTTCGAACAGTGGAAACAGCCTCTTGCAGAAATATAGGGTAAGGCTGCCTACAGTAGACCCTTATGGTCCAGCCATTCCCCGGACCCCGCGCATAGCGGGAGCTTAGTGCACCGCGCTGCCCTTTAAATGATGCTTTACCAAACACACAGTCACAGGCAAATTGTCATGCTGCAAAAACTTCCAGTGTTATGGTTGGGAAGTTGTGAAGAACTCTTTCCATTCCACTGACAAAAACTTAAAACTTATAGACAGTAAGAGGACAGCAAGGGAATACTACTCATCAATTAAGACATTGTTAATGGAATTCTGAAGTCTAGTTTGCTTCAAAGACTTCATTTGTTAGGGATAATGTCCTTAAGTATGCTGCCTTCAATGTTCAAACTAATTAAGCACCTGATAAAATGGCATGGGCTTAAGAGGGTGACCTACAAGGATAAATGAAACTCGGACTCAATGATTCAATAGCTTGAATATTTCAGAGTAAAACCAAATACAACAATTTCAAATATGCACAAATAGAAATGAAATCTAAAATATGGAAGAAATACAACAACACCGTGGCTTACAGGGCAGGAGCATTCAGGCAGAGGCCAAGCTATCATAGATACAGCTAATCTTCCGAAAATTTTCTGCTGCGCGCAGCACATCATACAGGAATACCGTGGGACAATACACAAACTCCATAAAAACCAGAATACCAGAACCTCAGCTCCTAAATGACTCCACAAAAAAATTCAAAGAATGTCCTAAAATTTTAATTAGTGAAACTTATATCCTTTCACTGAGATCTTCGTCTTATGTGTTGTGAAACTTGATACCCCTCAAAGAAATCCAAGACAGCAGTCTCAATGTCTTCACCAGAATACTTGATGTAGTTTTCCGGATGCCTTCCGCTCTCAATATGACTCCTGAATCTTCCGAGAAATGATCTATAAGCTGGGATCAACTTCTCGGATATAGAAATACGCAGCTCCTCCCGGAGCTGAGTATCCGGTATCAACCATGTAGACTGAGTCCTATGAACCTCTTCAAACATAGCATTGAATGCCTTAAACCGCTCTCTCAACGCACTCTTAGACACCCCAGATGAAAAACTGCCTTTAACATGTAAACCCTCATCTCGCAAACAATACAAAACTCTAACCCAGGTTGATCTCTGGTAGTTAATAGCTGCTTGCCTGAATTTCCCCGTTAATTTCTTTAAATAATCATCCCCTATCATCTCCCTTAACTCAGGTGAGCCTTTAATCTTCTCAACAATATAATGTACATTGTTCATCACAAATAAATGTGCCAAAGAAGTATCTTTATAGAACTTAGACTTACCTTCAAGATTAAATTGCAAAATCACAGTAATCCATATCAAATGAAGCGCCAAAGGGGTCTGTGATTCTAGCTCACCAAAATCCATATCAGGGGTGTTAGGATCACTAGAATACCTTGAACCTGTTGAAGGCTTAGAGACAATCAATTCAAGCATAGTCTGTTTGTAGTCCGAGATTAAACTTATGTAATTCATGACGTACCTAGTCAAGGGATGAATTGTCCCTCCAGGTACAGGAACCTTAGAAGGTTCTCGAAGCACTGCATTTTCGAATTCCGATAATATCCCTCTCGCAGCCTCCGCTAACCTAGATAATATCTCTACAGCCTGAACTCTAATTGACTCCGAAGATTTTGAATCGAAAACAATCTCAATATCAAGCAGTAAATCCGATAAAGCATCATGAAGATCCAATATCTTAAACAATTTCTCCGGTGATCGCCGACTAATACTAATGGCTTCCGCAAAATTGAAGAGCTGAATAGCTGGACCTTTGATTGTCTCTGTGAAACAAGCATCGTCCGTTGCAGTGCCTAAACCTTCGAAGATTTGCTCACAGAGCTTCTTTTCGCTAGCAAAAAGTATCCGAACGCATACTTTTGCAGCTCGTATCCACCGTCGGATCTTAGTTTCTAGAGTTTCCCATTCTAATCTCTGGATATCTCCGATGCTCAGCTTCTCTATTCCGAGTTTCCGGAAACTTGAGTCCACTGCAGACTTGCGTACACTGCCATACACCTGAATACACTCCCGGAGATACCCGGCGGAAATCATTCGCTCGGCGATGCATCGAAGATCGTAAATTGCATCGGACGGCATGAGATCGATTTCGCGGATGCTATTTGTAGATCGATAGCTGCCGCTGCTGTTACTCTCTTGATGCTCCAACTCCTTGGTCAACGGCGAGTCAACCTCACTGTTGTTGTCGTGGTAGTCTTCGTTACTGGTGTCAGTAAGAGATTCAGCTTCCATCGGAGTTGTGTGAGCAATGAGTATGTTGCGAAACTCATCTTCAAGCCGAGCCATGGCGATCTGGATCGCACTATTAGCTTTGTTCTGGTCGTCGGAAAGTGTAGCGAATTCCATTGACCGTTGGATTTCATCGACAGCTTGCAGGTAACGATCGATCTCGTGGCGATCGCCGGCGAATATCATCTTCTCTCGAGCATCTTCCGATGCCGTGGAATCCCACCGGAGGATTATCTTCTCAGCTGACTCGAATGCTACGATGTCGTTCTCCGGTGGTTCCATCAGTATCCAAACTTTGAAATTCAGAATCTCGAATAAAGTTTGTGAGCTTAGAGAAGAATTTGGATTGAAGACTGAATGATTGAAATGAAAATTCAAAAATGGAGGCGAGGGTGAATTTGAGAGTTTTTTCTTCTTCTCATCAATTTTTATTTGTAGTGATATTATTAAAAATAAGTTGTACTATTCAATTGAAATAATGTAATTTATTCTACTGTTTGAAAATAGACTTCTGCCAAAAAAATAATGACTTCACCGGCGAAGGAATCATTTGGATATTCCGATCGCCGATTCAAGGGGCTTTAGAGGATAAAGAAAAGTTATGTGGATTGGGGCTTTGTCCTATATACGCGACTCTCTCTCCTACATAACTTCACTTTGCATTAGAGTAAATTTCATGGATCGCACAAAAAAGACTAATTATGGTATCCAAAAGTTATTTTTCTTTTTCTTGTTAATTAAAAGTTATTCAATTTTATGTTCATTATCTAAAGTCATTTTCTTTTTATTTTGTTATACAAAAATTATTTTATTATGCTCTAGTTATCACGATAATCACTTTGACAAGATTTTATAAAACTTTCACCTAAAAAAGGTCTACTTTGCCCTTGATAAATCTTTCAATTTATGTAATACATTCTGTATTATATATTATATAATATATTTTTACCTAGAAATTTTACTTATAATCAAAATAAATTTATATTGTTTTATTATTATTTTTATAATATATTAGTACGTTCAATTTTCCCACGATACTGAATTTGTTTAATCATATTCGAGCATGAACATATTTTCAAATATGAAAACGACAAAAAAATATTTATTTGAAATAACAAAAACAGATTTGCTTAACAAATGATAATTTTTTTTATAGTCAGTAAAATTTTTAATTTTTTAAAAAAAATATTTGAGTTTAATATTAAATTTTAAGCTTTATCTGTTGATATTATTTATTTGAAACTGTTAATCTGATGTGTGAGTTTACTAAATATTGGTATTTTATTTATTGGATTAACGAATATGGCTTGATTGATGTAACGATCCGGCCGGTTGTTTTAAGAATTAACGCCCCAATCCCCTATTAACTGCTTTCCCCGTATTTGTTTCTGCTATTGTGAGTTGTCAGGAGGATTCTTTTTGAGTTTCGGATTGTTATGGGACACTTAGTCCCTAAATGAGAGCTTAAGCTTTAGAATTTGGACCGTAGTTGGAGCAGTGTGAAGACGGCCTCGGAATGGAATTTCGTCGNAATATGGCTTGATTGATAAATCTGTGAGCTTTGATTTTATAATTCTTATTAAAAATATTTAATTAGGAATGGTTAAGAACGTTGACTTAAAATTTGTTCATAGTAAAGTTACTGACAAATTTAATAACGCTACCAATATATCTTGAAAATTAACGTTAAGAAAAAATTAAATGTACGAATATATTATAAAAATAATAAATAAAGTAATATTAAGTTATTTTAGTTATAAATAAAATACCTAGGTAAAAATATATTATATAGTATATAATATAGAAGGTATAACATAAATATGAGGATTTATATAATATCAAGGGCATAATAGACTTTTCAGGTAAAAATATTATAAAATCTGGCAAGGGTGACTTTTGTGATAACTAGAGCAAAGTAAAATGATTTTTGTGTAACAAAAAAAAGAAAAGTGACTGTTGAGTAATGAACACAAAGTTAAGTGATTTTTATGTAACAAAAAAAAAGTGATATTTGGGTAATAACGCAAAGTTGAATGACCATCAATAAAATTTAGTCATTTGCATTACTATCTTTTGACTTCAACTTACTAGACTTTTTACACATAACAACAATATACCTACTTAGTGCGATCTCACAAATCGGATCTAAGGAAACTTACCCTTAGCTTGTGAAGATACAAATATTATTTTCAATACTCTCGGCTCAAGGAAAGCATGTAACGAAAAGAATCCATGTAAAGAAAAACAGTAATCATAACTAGAAAAATAAGATAACCGAGGCAAAACAAACGGCATGCAATATTAGAAATTCAAGAATATACTAGTGCTACAAATATAGAAAAGCAATACAGGTACGAAAAAGAATTACACTTGACTACTCACTAACCTACTATCCTAATTCTCGACCTCCACTCCCTCCTATCAAGGATCATGTTCTCGGCAGGCTGAAGATGTGTCATGGCTTGCTTAATTACTTCTACCCATACTTTTTCGGCCTACCTTTACCTCTCCTTGACCCCACCAGCCAAACCTCTCACACTGTCTAGCTCACCAGGGCATTTGTCTCATCTTCACGTGCTTGAAATATCTCAGTCTTGTTTCCTGCATTTTGTCCACCTGGGGCCACTCCCACATAATCATAAGTCAAATAATATAACTTTGCCATGATTTAAATTAAAGTGAAAGTTGTATACGGCTAAAATCGGAGACTCCAATTTCACGATCATTGTAACGCTCCATAGCCCGTCTCCAGAAGGCTCGATGAAAAGCTCGAGGTTCGACCCCGAGGGTTCCCTATGCTCGACCTCGGGACAGTGCAAATCAGTTGCTATGTTGGATAAACGGGAGATTCCCAAAGCACGTGGTTAGAGCTGGCCAGGTCTACAAGAGTAGTACAGGTCCGTATCGTAGCATTAAAAGGCTGTACCAGCCGTGTATCTTTGTAATAAATGGCTGTACCAGCCGCATATCTTTGTAATAAATGCACATGTACTATGTTGGGATTCACCCTCCTATATAAAGGGGACCCTTGTCATTTCTCGCGCACGACATATTGAATACACAAGAATATTCTCTACTCTCTAACTTAAACATTTTCCATTATCTTTCCTTTGATTTATTGATTACATTTATTGTGTTTCACTAATTGTTTCTTCATTTATTACTCATCATTGATCATAAAGAGCCACCATCAAGGCTCCCAGAACTGTTAGTCATTCATCGATCATCCCTGATCGAACTCATCTGCTCGACCTCGAGGCCCAGCTCAGGCTAGCTCGAGGCCCCGATTCACGGCCATTCAGTTTGCATTGCACATTGCCTTCAAGCTGTTATCTCACTTTTCTAATTCACACTTAGCATCTATCACCTAACAACAAGCATTAAAATAAATCACGTATTTTTAGAACCACAAAATCAAATTTAATTGTAATCACCATTTTCAAGGTAAACAAAAGTATATACACAAATGAAATTTATTTTGTATCTATTAATTTAATGTGGAATTATATTGGGTATGTTGTTGTTGTTGTTGTTGTTATGTATTATTAATTTAACGTAAGCACATATACGAGTAAGCTTTTACCCCATTTTGATTGGGGTCATAAAACCCTTATCCCAAACAGCTTTGATTTTTGAAATAATCATTTACATGTATATTCATAAACTTTATTTGTATCAGGTTACACCATCTATATCAAGTTTTAATGGGTTGATATTAGTAAAAGTACATGTACCCAATTCCTATTATTTATTGTTGTCATGTTGTTTACACTATTTAACATTATTTGTCTACACGAATAAACATTGTTCTTCTTTATAAAATGTTCATTCAATGAAATATTTTCACATATTAGACTAAGAAATATGTGAGAAAGAAATGAATCTATAAACAACAAATTACCATAAAATTGAATAGTTAAAAGGTAAATGAAAGGAAATCCAAGTTGCATTCAATATTTTAAACTACGACAGAAAAGGAATCTATTATTGAAGTCAAATGAGGCTTCGAAAGACGAGGCACATAATTTCAATTTTACATTATACAATCTAGTATAGTAGCTAGTAGTAACTTTTTCATGTTGAGAAGAAGTGCACTAATTCAAACTAACCTTTGTTTGTTGACATTCTAAAAAGTTTCAACTAGTATTTCATTGCCCGTTAAACTTCGAACTTCGAAGTCTTTAATAGGTAAAATGTGTTTTTGTTTTCACCTTCGAACTTCTTCATAAAATTTTCTAAAAACTTGTGCAAAACAACAAAATTATCTAACTTTTCCCATACTAAGAGATCAGAATGTATTGGTCTAAATTTGGACGGCTTGATAACTGCAGATAAACAGGGTTAAGGACGGGGTCGATTACGGCATAACAACGAGGAGTCGTCTTCAGAATGATTATCGCTAAGGACGAGTAAATGGAGTAAAGAAGTAACGGTAGGGTAGATTGAGAAATAGACATAAGGAATATTCTTTTGAATATTCCATATGTTGTACTTTTTAGGGTTTCTTGGGGATATCCCTTATAAATAGGAAGAGATAGAGAACAAATTAAAGGGGGGATCTTCACTTCTTGATAAGAGCACTTTGTAAAGAGTTGACTTGGAAGAATATACAAATATTGTCTTGTTCAATGACTACTTTGCTCAACATACATTATTCATTCTTTGTTCACAAGATCCAAAGATTCCTTATCCATCTTTACTTATCTTAATCCCACGTTGCTGTCAGGAAGAAGAATCACCCAAACCATCTAACATTTGGGTGATAGATTCCTCTTTATTACATTTTTTGGTATTATCTACATTTATTGCATGTTCTTATCACAATATTCATTGATAATCATTGAACATGTGCCTGATCTTTATTACTCTCAAATGTAGTTCTATTTCACGGATCTGTCCAAGTTTTTGTCTAAATCGCATTATATTTTACTAGGATTCACTCTCTATCTTATCATTAATTAGTTTAACAAAGAGCTTAATATTTTTTGATCAAACACAGAGTAGTATCATGCAATTATATGAGTATTAACTTTAGAGAACTTCCTTATATATAGCAGCGTGCATGAAATCACCTTTAATCACATGTAACACCATGCATGTGTAGATAAAACTCATGAGTTGCCAAATTCTTTAATGGTATAGGAATTGGTTAATGTGAAAACAAGAAAAAAAACAAGTGTAATTCGGGTTTTAACTTGAAAAATCCATTCTTTGTTAGATGCATGTTGGAGAAGGGCACAAGAAAACAGATAAATATAACTAGTTTCTAGTGGTTCAAAGTTACACTAATGATTGTACTTTAGGGTGTACAAAGTTATAACTCGTTTAAGGGTCGATTTCGATCGGTGTTCACTACGTAATGACTCACTTTCGATCTTTGATTACTTATACTTCGGCAACATTACATTACCTAAGTATATGAGGTTAGGTGCAAACAAAAGTGAATTAGTGAAAAAAAGATTAAGTAATGAAGAAATTAATGAAGTCAACTTGAAGTTAATGAGAATATAATTAGTCTTAATTACATGCACGTGCTGCATGATATCTACGCAGAAGTTATTAATCAATCTCCAAACAATTCATGGAACAGAAAGTTGGAAACAAACCCAAAGACGAATACTATGTTGGACTTTAAG